GTTCCCCCCGCCGTGGCAGAGCGGCTTGATGGGCACGCCGTACGCGCTGTACTCGCTGCTGGCCATGGAGATGGGGGTGGCGGTGTCGATCATGCCGGAGCTGTACATGTGCGGCCAGCCAGTGCCAATGGAGCTGCCCACCGTAGTCAACTGGTTGGGGAGGGGGTAGGCAGCTGGCATGGGCTGCATGGTGGAAAAGGCGAGTCCGCCGGGCATCTTGTACTCTCTGGCGATGATGTTCTCGATGGCGAAGGGGTGCTTAAAGCTAGAGGATTGGGACACGCCGAGGTTGTACGTGGACATCTGGGGCAGGTGGGTGCCGGTGGCAGCCAGCGCGCTGAGGCGCAGCTTGGCCTGCTGCTGCAGGTACTGCGCTGCGTCGGCCGGCTTGCTGGGCGCCAGGTGCTCCGACTTGAGCACCTTGAAGCGCTTGCGGCGTCGCAGGAAGCTGCCGTTCTCGAACATGTCCCCGCAGCTGGGGTGCAGTGCCCAGAAGCTGCCCTTGCCCGGCTGGTCGGGGCGCCGCGGGATCTTGATGAAGCAGTCATTGAAGGAGAGGTTGTGGCGCAGGGAGTTCTGCCAGCGCTGAGTGTTCTCTCGGTAGTAGGGGAAGCGGTCCATGATGAACTTGTAGATCTCGCTCAGGGGCAGCATCTTCTCCGGGGAGCTCTGAATCGCCATGGCGGTCAAGGAGATGTAGGAGTAGGGAGGCTTCTGGTCACTGTAGGTGTTTCTGCCCGGGCGAGGCATCTTCGCTAGGGGAGCCGCAGAGATCTGCAGAGGGGCAGCCACGGGGAGGGGGCGGGTGAGCCCAGGAGGGTTTACCCCGACGCGCGGCCGGGGCGCAGGGAGGGGACACGCAGAAGGGGCACTCCGGGGCTGAGCGGTGTCCCGCGCCGCCGGGAAACGCCGGGTCTTCCCCGGCCCGGCCTCGCTCAGTCCCGCAGCCCGGCGCCCGCCAGGTTACTAAAGCGCAGCCTCTGCCTCTTGGTCTTGGGGAGGAGGAGAAGGGTTCCTTTCCCTTTCCTTCACGTCCCCTCCTTTCCTCTCCAGCTCCCTCCCGCCCCACGCCGTCCCTACGTCTGCTCACCTTAAAGTTGCTGGAAGTTGTCAGTCTGCATCCGGGACGGAGCTGGGATTCGGGGCTTTTTCCCGACGCGGTCCCGCGGCGCCTCGCTCGCTCCCTGCGCGGCCACTGCTCCGTTTACTCCCGAGGAGGCAGCGCCTGGCTCGGTTTGGGGAGTCCTCCCGCACACCCCTCCCTCGGCTCCGCGGGCTGAATCAGCTTCTTTTACACCCCCGGCGGCCGGCCTGTAGCGGGGGCTTGATTGCTTCTCTGCAGCTGAGATGAGCTAAGTAGTTGCCTCCATGTCCTTCCTCTAACCATCTGATAGTTTTATGTGGTGACATGAGCAGAAAAGACCCCTGTAGAGGCGCTTCATTAATGTGCCACTTCTTCGCTATCATATGACAATCGCCTTGGGAGGAGGGGGAGGGGAGCGGGAGGAGGGGGCTGCAGAGAAAGGCATAATCTGGTTTCATTTACACCTATTTACATGGACACCTTGGGCCAATAGGAATCATTTCCATTTGAAGACAAGGCGAGGGGTGCAGAGGCTCCGCGAGCGGGATCGCGGCGCGCTGGGAGCCAGTGGCGGCTGCGGGGGAAGGTCCGCGCTAACCTCGCTGCGCGCCGCGCAGGAAGCCTGAGCTGCAATTCACACGTACCAAAGGAGCTCTCGAGCAGGGGGGTGTTTGACATGGAAATTGCCCGGCTCTGGTATTCTGTTTGTTCTACATTGTTACCTGATTTGTATTGTTGGCTAACTTAAGGCGAGTCCTTTTCCCCGTAAGGAGAGACTTTCTCTTGGCCATCTGCAGCCGAGCCCCTGCCTCGCCCGCACAGGCTACTCCGTCCCACCCCCGGACAGAGCTTCCTGCCCTCCCTGCGCTCGACCTGCGCCTCGGAGCACCTCCTGGAGCCCAGGGAGGGCTAAAGCGCGGAAGCCGCCTTAGAGCCGTCGGGCGCGGGCCTCGCGCGGGCTCCTGCCCGCTGCGGCTCCGCTCCCACAGGGGCAGCCGGGGTGTCTAGCGCTCGAGTGACCCCGTTCTCTGCTCTGCGTCCTTCCCCGGCGCCACGGCCCGATCCTGGAGCCGCCGCTCCGCCAAGCGCCTCGCTGCCAGGCGGCCGGGGGAAGCAGCCTCGGGCCCCGCGGTGCCCGGTCCCCAGGCGAGTGGGGCACGTTGGTGCGATGGATATTCCCGAGTGCATCCTGCCGCCCTAGAGCCAGAATAAAGGATTGTCTCAGCAACGGCAAGCCCTGAAAAAAAAATCATTTGTGAATGCACAACCACTCCATTAACAGTATTTTCGGAGCTGGTCAATAACTCACCAAAACGTAACTTAAACACGATGAATTTAGGAGATTAAACAATTTCATTAATATTGAAATGGCTGCTGGGGCTGAACGCGCCCGCTTGAAATGCAAGCGCACGTTTTTCAATATTAACAGAAGTACTTGAAGAAAAGAATAATGTCACCTTCTTAATTCAGCAAAAATAGGCGGCGTGGGGGAGGGAGCGCCCGCCCGGGCCGGCTGGCAGAGGTGGCTCTGCGTGCGGATTAGTGGCCGCGCGGGGGGACACTTCCCATTGAACGGGGCTCTCTGGACTCCCGCCGCAGCTGGAAAGCGCCTTTACCCCCGCACCTAGACCCGGCGTGTGGCTGCTAAAGGGGGTCGCCCTCGTTCCACTGCGGCTGCCCTTGGTCCCTAGCCGGCCGCAGTGGCGTTTAGCAAGAGCCGGGGAGGTAACGGAGACCCGTTGCGTATCCCCCGCGCAGAGCGGGACCCGGCTCCGAGGCTGGCGCTGCCGGGGCCGCTGAGCTGCTAGGGAGCTGGGCAGGGCAGGGCAGGACAGGAGGATCCCCCTTCTGCGTGTAAGACAGAGGGCAGGGAGCCGCTGCCCGGCTCCTTTGGAGTTTAGTTAAGGACACTGCACGGATTCCTCCCGTGTTCCCTAGGTAAGCGGGCAGGAGGCTGCTGGCTTCGCATTGGGACCCCCCAAATAAGTAGGTTTAAGGGGACACCTCCCGTTATATACTTCTTTTTCCCCCCGATCGGAATTTGTCTTCCAGCCCGGTTCATTCCTGGGATCCTTGTGGAAACGAGAGCTCAAGAGCAGCACGGGGCGTAAATAAAAGCCATAGGCTGACAAATTCTTTTATTCTTTCTTTTGCTAGTACCTTTTACTTTCGAAGAAAGAATGAAAGAAAAACACTTAACGCTGGCGCAAACGGGAGCCTGTAGGCTGTAAAGTTAAAGAAAAGGCGACTTCCGTTGTCATTTGGTGCCGCAAGTGCCAGTGAGGGGTGTTGAAAGCGGCCGATTCCCCCGTGCAGAGAATGTGTGCAGGGGGGACTCGGGCCCGCGGAGCACCCCACCACTCGGACCCGAAGTTTCACCTTGTCGTAGAGATGACACACAACACCTGGTAGAGCTGGGCAGAGGAGGGTTTAAGGGGAACTTTTAGCTTTTGCCTTTTACTTCGAAAGGCAACATTAGGGAGGAGGAGAGGGGGCGAGAACGAGTGCTTGCAAAGTGAATCCAAATTCATTGTGCAGAAAACCACAACAAATAGACGTTTTTCTGAAGCCTAATTCAAATAAGAAGCTCAGTGGAAGTATTGGGAAAACTGTATAAAATACACATAAGTCAATTATACCAGTGTGCAAACGGAATGGAAATCTATTTCGTGCGATAGCCATTCAGTCCCTCCATGGAGCCCGGCGCGAACCACCTTTCTGCATGGAAGGTTTGCAATAGCTCCCTTTCCCACAAGCAGGACCACACACGTTTACAGATTTGGTAATAATTTATGCTAATTTTCCTCCATAAATCCACAATTCGCTTCAGTGGCAAGCGGGGCTGTTGAGAGAGGAAGAGGAGACAGAAAAGTGACAAATACAATATTGATTTTGAATCATTGTGGCTGGAGGCAGGTGTGCTCCTTTGCAGAGGGGAGGAGTGCGAGAGGGGCTGGGGGGAGAGGGGGAAGCCAAGAAGTTTTCCAGGGATAAAAAAAAAAATCCGCACGGTGCCGAAGAATAGCTCGCACAGCCTTGTTAATATTTACAAACCAGTTGGGAGAAAAGAGAAGGGAGGAGGAAAGTACCAGCTTCTTAGGGTTTCCTAGGCTGCGCAACACAATGCCGGGCTGTGAACGAGCTTCCCCCGTTTTGCAAAGCCAACTCCGGGCTGCCGCTTGCGGCCGCGTTTCGTCTGAGTCTAGCTCTCTGGTTTTATTTATTAATTTATGTATTTATTGTAGCGGTTCCGTTTCCCCGGGGGCCGGCGGGGAGCCGGGCGCGCCGGGCGCCGCGCTGCTGCTGGACGCGGGTGCGGGGGGCCGCGCCGGGGAACGCCCCGCC